ATTTGCAACACATCTTGTCATTGTAGATTTGTTGGCTCAGAAATTCCAGTTTTTTTATGTCCATAATTAAGAGTTCAGTGTTTGAAAATTGAGCTATAAGAAACATAGTCGAAAATCAGCCCGAGCATAAAATTTCAAGGCCCACGACGCTTCTTAAAACAGAAACAACCTTCTTGTTGATCAAGAGGGATCATTCCTCCACCCTTCGACGTGTCGATGACCTCTAACATGGAAACTACCTCATCCATTTCGGGCCTTCGATCCGGGTTGGCATCCCAGCATCGTTTCATCACGTTGGCAAGGGAACTAGGGCAACACCTAGGTATCTCGGGCCTTAGGTTCTATAAGAAGAAGAGAGTAAATCACATTTTTTTTTTGCCAGATTAAGCCTCGGCAAAATTTATGAATCATTTATAAATGATTAAACTTCATTTTCAAGCACGCATTCTAGATCCATCATTACTATCAACTTATCAACAATTTATTTCTATCTATTATAAATTAAATCATTTATAGAACATATAATGAAGAAAATGCAAATACCTGGCGAACGACTGCTGAAGTCACTTCTGAGAAACTAAGGTCGGGATATGGCATGTCACAACAATACGTCTCCCATAAACAGATGCCAAAACTGTATACGTCGCATTTCCTATTGTACGGGTTGCCATTGAGAACCTGAAGTTCATTATTTAGACATGCAGCTGACATTAATATGACAGTCGTGGCCAATTTTTTATTTGTATTTTGTTGTTGACTCAGCTTTCTTTTGTTTAGTTTTGGTTTTATGTTCTACCATGAATACAAGTTAGGCTTTTCATTGCTTCTCTGGAGGAATCGGGGAGAGGGAGAGATACTGTTTCTAAGTTCTACGAGTTAAAGAGAAACAAATGGTTAATGATTTATTAGTTATTAAGTAATACGAGTTGAGCATGTCTAGTACATAGTGTTACATGGGGATTGACAACATGATAGACAACATTGTTAATGAACTGTTGGAATGAGCAAACAGAAACACCATTTCATGAAGTTAAATATGGAGACATTTCCTATGAACGAAAAGAGACGTGCAAGAACATGATACAGTTTCGACTTTCAATACACTCTCCTAGAATGAGTATATCAAAGAAATGATGGATAACTAACCTCGGGAGCCATGTAGCCAAGGGTCCCAGTTTCTCCCGTCATGTCATTCGGATTCGAGGCTTCAACACGGGCAACGCCAAAATCTGCTATTTTCACAGTGCGGTTCTTGTCTAATAGCATATTTTCTGTTTTAACGTCTCTGTGAACAATCTTCTGAGAGTGAAGGTAACTTAACCTACAAAACGGAAGATCGAATTAAATTTATTTAACGATCATCTAAACAACAAATGAATAGAACCGACAAGAATGCCAAATCTAAATGACAGGTACCCTCTGGCAAGATCGAGTGCAATCTGTACAACTACTTTGAATGCAAGCTTCTTTCTCCGGTTCTTTATAAGGTAAGATTTCAAAGCACCTCCAGGAAGATATTCAACAACAACACAACATATATTACTAGGCATCCCAATGTGACCATTTTCTGTTTGAATATTAAGTTCTGAAGAACCCATTGTTGCCCCAATAAACTGCATAACAGGTTTTAACGTAAGTGTTAATACCAACATTGCAAAGAGACAACCAAAGATAAAGTTTAAATCGAAGATATACAATTAGTTCCGGTAACTATTAACAGATTTCCGCTTATAAGAAGCATGCTTCTTGTGAAATTGGAATTGTCCCGGCAATGGTGGGTCCACCATAGTTATGTTAAAGACAAACTCAATGAACAACGAAAATGTCGTTAGAAACACGGCTCCACATATATCAAATAAGTGCAAAGATACTAGAAATAGATTACAACCTTAGTTACATTAGGATGATCAAGTTTATGCCAAACTGCAACTTCTTGAGTAAAAGCTGCCCTTAATGATGCAATCTCAGCATCTGTCCTGTGGCCCTCTTCCCCCCAGTCCAACAGTTTAACTGATCACCAGAAGCTACCAAATGTTAATAATGAATAAAGTAAAATTAATAAAATCTCAACAATTATAGTGTACCGAATAGAAACCGTGCCAGAGCAGCATTCAGTTCACTGGTGCAAGCCAATGCAAGTTAAGAAAAAATAAAAGAACAAAAGCCTTTTTTACTATTCAATCTATCTAATTGGATAATCTAACATTGATCAATTGATGGAAGGTAGATGATTGTTTTGAGAGAATGAACAGAAAAAAAGATTTGTGAAGTATTGAAAATCCTAATAAGCTCGCCAAAGAGGAGAGTCCAATTCGCTAAATTTTACAATGTCAAACCATAGTTAATCAATGTCCCTTTCTCTATGAGCCTAAGAAATCGGACAAACGAGCGTTGGATTAAAAGAAAAGATAACATACTAACCAAGGCAAAAAAAATAAAAATCATATAGTCAATCCTAATGTTTATTGGGAACTAATACTGAACCTCTTTCCATCGTTTTTAAGCCATGATACTGTTTTCTATCCTTGCTTAATATTAGGATCAGATTGTATTATAATCAATATTCTTATCTACAAAATCTTCAATTTAATAGCTTAAAAGGGTTATCTTTTGTTTAAAGTTCTTGATAAAAACACTAAACAGTCTAAACTATACTCTCTGATGAATATTAACATTAATCAATTTGCAAAGATCCTAGGTTCTAGGTTGAAATTGACATTTAATTAATTACATTTGTTTACCATCCGATTAAACAATAATATCTCCCCTTTATCATGACTACACTAGAAGACAGTTTCCTTTTGGTTGTTAAAAAGTCAAAATAAACAACCAGTTGCTTCACATGAAAGTTCAGAAAAAACAGCACCCCAAGTCATTACTGTCACCTCAAAATCCAATCCAAACCCGTGCCATAAGTCACGGATTCCATAAGTACATCCTAAAAACACACCCTACCCCCTCCCACCCCCGGCATTAAATAATCAACCAACCAATTATAATTATCCTGAAAATAATCAGTTTTTGCTATTGATTTGAGGTTTCTATGATTCTTTTCTTCTCATTTCACTTAATTTATCCACCAAATTTTAACTAAAAATTTGAGAAGATTTTACTCCTCCTTAAAAGCACCTTTTGAAGGCCCCTAAAAGAGCAGCTAAAAAGTGCTTTTAATCACAGCAAAATAAGCATATTTCTAATCAAAGGACAAAAATAAATGAAACAAACTCACAAAATCATTGACAAAAAGTAAAAAAGGAAAATAATTTTTTTATACAGAACAGAAAATGGAGGAAAAAAAAAAAAGATAGGACTAAGGGGTTGACTGACCGGCAACATCCTGACCATCATAAATGCCACGGTGTACAGTTCCAAAAGTACCACGTGCAATGACGCCCTTGATGATCAGCTTAGACGGGTCAATCTCCCACTCGTGTCTCTGCCTCCTACTGGCGCCACCGCCGCCGATTGTGGTGGCGGTAGTGGTGGCGGCGGCGGTGATGGGCAAATCTTCTTGATTTTTCTTGTTTTTCTCCATAGTCCAAGCCCTACTGAGATGCCTCTCGAGTTGCTCATCTAAACTCTTCAAATCAATCTGATCTGCCCTCACAAACCCATCACTGTTCTTCTCCATTTTTGCAGTATTTTTCGAATGAATTCAAGAAAGTGAATTAATTTTTTCAGGGTTGTGGAGGGTTTTATGCAATTAACAGAAATTTGAATCGGTAATTAACGATATGATATGAAGATGCAAAAAGGTAAGAGGAGAGGAAGAGTGTATGTATAATTGTATGTATATTTTAGTGTGTGTTGTATGTGTGCGCAAGTAGGAGTATTATGAGCAGCGCCATGTGGGCACATGGAATTGCCTGATGACAACGTGTGTATGACCCACAAAAGGTCTCCTCTTATTTT